TAAGCTGACTAACTGGCCAGCCTTGGGTCACAGACACCAATCAACTAAAACAAGTGGGTGGGACACTGTGATGGGTCAAATTAGAGCAGGTCTCCATTTGTGACCAACTGGCCATAACAGGGAGGCAGAGTTACAGAAGAACATGGCAACTTCCCTCTGGAACCAGGGTTGGAGAGGGAGGAGGAACATTTCTCAGGAGGGTAGTGGTAGGCGGAGGGGGCCTTCTCCCAAGACGAGGTGTTTACAAGTGTCTGGGCAGACTAGATGCTGTAACCGGTTCTCCACAAATGATAATTATACAACTGCTTTCCAGATTTCCCTCCCTCCCACCCCAACCCCTCCCAGGCCTGACACCAAATGCTCACTGGCTTTCCCCCCACCTAGTTACCAGTGATCTTTGAAATCAGTGACTCTGATGGAAATAATATCATTACTATTTTCGGGAATGACTGAATTTTGCCCAAACTCTGCAGGCGAATGGCACCTTTTAACCAAAGTCACCTGAAGTAGAATGGGCGGAGATGCTCTTTTCTTCATGAATTATTGACCTACAGTTTACTTACATTATTTTACTTCCCTTTTCACATCTGTTGCCTGGCTCGGCCCTCTGCCATCTGGTACTGTCTATTATTCCTCCTTCCCTCCATATTTAACAACGCTCTTACCATTCAGGTCATTCTGTTTCCGCAGGGCAGCATGGGACCCCCAACAGCCCTGTCAGTGTGTCCACTTATTTGTAAACAGTCATGATTCCCACAATTTTAGCACTAGAAGGGCCTCTAGCAGTCAGCTGGTCTAATGCTTTTCTCTTATGGGGGGAGACAAATGAGGCTAAATGATCCTACATGACTTTTCCAAGGTCCCCCAGTATGTTAGTGGCAGAGTACAGCTAAAGTCTTGGTGTTTTCTGGTTCCTAACCCAGTGATGTCTCCAGGAACTGAACGAAACAACCAGCAAAAAATAGAAACAGGGATGGTACAGAGAACCACTTAAGCAGTTCCTCAGGCCCTTTGATGAAAATTCTCCATCATCCTCCTCCTCTTCTTGTTCTTTTAAAATAAATGTGTCCCCTTTATGGACACGTGTACTGCAGGACCTCTCACCAAGATGGGACAGGTCTCTCCCTGCTTGCTCAGCTGATAGTTATCAAGCCACTGCCACACTCAGTGGGGAATGCAAACACAACAAAACAAAACCAACCAACTAACCAACCAGCCACCAACCAACCAACCAAACAAACAAACAAAAAATACATTTGTTACAGTCTTTACCATCAGAAAGTTTATAAACTGGTTTGGGGAGAAAAGCCAAAAAATATTCAATCAGGTTTAGGATATAAGGACTGTCAGAAAACAGAGCACTGACGTTATCAAATGGTCAGACAGGTGGTAGAGACGAGGCTTCCCAATACTGCCCTTACTCTTGGCATCTTGGCATCATCTTATATAAAAGAAAATGTAATAAAAACTTTCCCAAGCTCCATAAAGAAGTTCCCAAATCTCCTCCAGTTTACTCTAGTTGTTGAATAAATATTATAATTATTGTGGGAAAGGGATAGACATCTAGTGCCAAGAGTTCGAAGGATGAGAAGAGAGACTCCACTGACTGGGCTCTGATTAGCCCCCCACCTCTGGAAAGTGGGAGCTGGAACCACTGGCCCCTCATTTGACATGCAATGAACTGAGATCTTTTAGCATGGGAGGGAGGGAACTAGGACCAAAACTCACAATGCCTGTTTTGTTAACTTCCAAATTATCATTATCTAAGCAACAGATGCACACAGTTTATAAAAGCAAATAAGGGAGAGCCAAGTGGCTCATTTGGTTGAGAGTTAGCTTAAGAGCACGAGCTCTGAGCAACGGGGCCCCCAGTTCGATTCCCACATGGGCCAGTGACACCGTGCCCGAGCTGAGCTGCCGCTGAGCTGCTAACGGGTTCGGGATGGCTCAGCTGGTGAGAGCACGTGCTCCTTACAAGACTGCCTGTTCGATGGTGGGCTTTGCCCTCCTGCAACTAAGACTGAACTCAGCACCTTGAGCTGAGATGCCGCCCAGATGGCTCAGTGGATAGAACTTGTGCTCTTAACAACAAGGCTGCTGGTTTGACTCCCGCATGAGATGGTGGCTACGCCCACCTGCAACTAAGATTGTAACACAGCACCTTGAGCTTAGAGGCCACGAGCTGCCAATGAGCTGCCAACAGGCAGCCAGATGGCGACTGGCGCCCTCCACAACTAAGATTGAAGAACAACAACTTGGCTGGTCCCCCCTGCCCAATTCCCCAACACTGTTTCCCTCCCCGACCCCCCAATTTAAAAAAAGTAAATAATACTGTAAGGCTTGTAACAAAAATAGCTCTTTGCTTTAATTGCTGCCCTTACCTGAGAAGCGCTCACTTTAAACTCAACTGTGTCTTATGCTTTTTATCTTCTTGGTTTCATATATCATGTTTATGCTGCAGGTTTTTTATTTTCCCTTCTGTGGACATCTTATTATGGAATATGAGATTTTATGTCTCATTCTTTCAGCTACATAACACTTTTTAAAATCAAATCAATGATTAATATTTACATTAGTATTTACATAAACATTGTTCAGAGAAGAGCCATATAGCACGTTGTGATCACTTTTCTTTCCTATATAACTTTTTGTTTTTTTCTGGCATTAATAACTGCCTCTTGATTGTTGTTATTGTTGTTTAATTGGTTTTCTATGTATCTGTCATTAATTCATCTTCCAACTTTATAAATTATAAAATTTTAGGAAGCATAAAATTCTTAATTTTATAATTAAGAATATAGTTTTATGGTTTATAAGAATTATAGCATTCTTCCCAACGCATTCGAACACATCAGGTGATCTCCCAGTTTCTTTTCTTCTTGGATATCTCCAAGATTCAACAGTCCTAAATGTCTCAGTCTTCCAGCTCTGATATGGACTGCTTTTTCCCTAGGTGAGATGTACAGTTATTATTCTGAAGCTACCCTTCATCTTCATTCTGGGAATCCCCTCCACTTCTCTTCTGTGTTGGGCCTACACTTTCCAGAGAGCTTTTTAGTTTGTCTCCTCCCTTGTTTTAGAGGAACACATCTTCCAGTAGCTTCTTGAGAATGGGCGAATGTTTTGAGACAATGCATGCCTGAAGAATATCTTTGTTCTTTCTTCATGATTGATTTGTACTTTAGTTGGGCATAGAAGGATCAGGTATAAATCATTTTCCTTTTCCGAGGTTGTTTGATCTCTTTGTCCTTTAAATTCCAGTACTGCTGTTCAGAAATCTAATATCATTCTGATTCCTTGACATCTCTGAGTATGACCTATTTCTTTCTTTCTGGAAGCTTTTGGGATCTTCTCTTTGCCTCTGAAGCTCTGAAATTTCACAGTGATGTGTCTTGATGTGGGTCCATTTTTCATTTACTTTGTAGGGTACTCATTGGTCCTTTTTAATTTGGTAACTGATGTACTTCAGTCTTGGATTCTGTTGTGAATCAGTTCCTGTTTTCTCTTTTCCAACTTTTATTTAGCAGATATTGAGCCTCCTGGGCTTGTATCTAATTGTTTTCATCTATCCTACTTTCTAATTTTTTGTTTTTCTGTTTTACTTTCTGGTAGATTTCTTCAACTTTATATTTTAACCCTCCTGGTGAATTCTTTTCTGTAAACAGGTTTGTAATCTCCATGAGTTTTTTCTTCTTCTCTTAATGCTTTCTCTCTTTAAAAAGCATCCTTTTTTAAAATGATAATTATTAAAAAATGAACACAGTATCTTCTTGCACCCAGTATGATAGTAATTTTTTTCTCTCTGTTTCTTCCAAGTTTCCCCCATATGCCCCCATTTGTTTGTCTTGGTGTTTCTTTTATGTTGGAGGATATCCTCAAGTAGTTGATGGCTCTTGATGGATGGTTCCAGAACCTTGATCCAGGAAACATATTGAGAGAGGGCAAAGACTACACTCTTGACCAGCAAGGGATATAAAAGGGGGTATAAAAATGAGTAAGACGTTCAGAATCCAGCAGGGAAGACAGACGGGTAAACAAAATACAACACAATGTGATAAGTGTTCTTTATGCTCAACAAACATTCATGTCTGCTGTACGTCAGGTACTATTCTAGGCATTTTCATTTTATTTATTCCTTATAATAACATTGTGTGTTAGGCATTATTATACCCATTTGAATACAAGGAAACTGCCAAAATAGAGGAATATACAAGTAGTATGAAAACAGAGAGGTGAGACCCGTCTTTGGTGCTTCTTTGGCCAGGCATCCAGAGGGACACTCTCTCTGGCCCAGTGATCCAGTCTGCAGCACGGAAGGCAAAGGCCCTGGCTGGCACCGTAGATCCTGCCTGAATCTGGCTCTTTATCCTTGGGCATCACCCCTTTTACTTCCTTCCTCCCAATTCCAAATGTAAGGATAGCATCTCATGTAGGATCAGAGGAAGAAGACAAGTTCCACAGGTAATCAGCAGCATTTTTGAGCACTGTTTTCAGCATGGAAAGGACAAGAGGAAAACAAGTCAGAAAAACCTTAAACTACAATGGACCCAAACCACACGAAACTCTTAGGGTCCAGCCCTTTTTACTCTTTCTCATTTTTCTTTTCTCCCTTCATTTTTCTTGTCAATAACAAAAGTTTACCAGAGTATTAAGACAGTAGCTAAGGAATGGCCATTTTGACAGAGTGGTGGTGGTGGTGGTGGAAGGTAGTTGTGGTGAGGGAAGTGAGGTCTAGAGAGATTTTTTAGAAAGACTGATCAGTTGTCCCTCAAAGTTAGATCAAGGGGATCACGTGGGTAAATTAGGGGGAGGGACACACACACACACACACACACACACACACACACACACACACACCTCAACTTAAGCAGTTTTTAAAACTCTCTCTTAGAAACAGGAACTTGCCTCGGGTCTCCTGAACCGAAGAGCACAGATCTTGTCTTCCTCCTTCTGGCGGCCACCTTGTTCTTTGAGGCTGTCTCCTTTGGGCAGAGAGCCCTGTTCTTCCACTGGACGGGTAAGTGGAGACTGCAGACCTACAGGGGCTCCCTGGGGGCTCCTTTGACTTTAGTTCTCTAAGGATTAGGTAGAGAAGATTCTTTGTGGGGGGAACCCAAAATCCCCATGTATTAAGAAAAGGAGGTGGGGGCGGGGTGCAGACAGAGATTTTGCCAAATTACAGATGGAGCAGACTAGATCCAGAACAATTCCTCAGGGAGGTCCTCCCACACCCACAGGAAGACCAAAAAAAGGCTTGAAATTCAAATTATTTTTGGTGCTTGGGAGATGAGAGGGGAGTGAGAGAGGGCAGTGGTAGTAAATAGGAACTGAAGGGGAAAGAAAAAAACGAAAGGCTTGGTCAGTATTTTTCCTAAAAAACAGCTCAAGAGAGCACCAAATATCAGATATGTAGCTGGACTTGAATAGTATTTTTAATTATGCATCTGCAGGCTAGACTTTAAAGGAGAATATTCACAAATTTTATATAAATTTGGTTTCTGCCCTGAAAACAGTGGCTTCTGCACCTCTCCTTTTTTTAGCCTCTATTTTTGAGATGACAGGACAGAGATGTTTTGCCCACACTGTAACTACATACTCTCTCTGCTCCTCTTAAACCCGTTTCCTTGCCCTGATTTCCTCCAAAGTCTGTCCTCCTTTCGTGAATGTTGTCCACCCTTTTTTTTGGTTGTTGTTTCTGCTTTGGGTAAGCAGGATGGAAAAAAATGTAGGGGGATAGATAACGGTGGACACTGTGATGAGAGGTGAGAAAGCAATAATACATTTGAGAATTAGGTAGAAGGAGAAATAAAATACCCTGTTCCCTGTTGGAGTACTTCAGTCTTTCCAGGTCTCAGTTTTTCTCATCTCAAAAAAAGAATGATTTGGATTAGATAGATAGATGCTGGACAGCTATTTAAATTTGAATTTCAGATAAACAGCAAATAGGTAATTAAAAATCTGACATTACAATTCTGTATATTTGAGGCAGTTCTTAAATGACCTTACTCCAGACTTGTTTAAATAACAGGTACCCACAGGGTGCAGCGTTTTGAGAGAATCAGTTTCCTGATCTGCCTGAGACGGAGTGAGAGCTGGGTTCACGCTGGGTTTTCTCTGCTCCCACCTCTCCTGTCACACTAGTCCTTTCTCACTTCTAAAAAAGGAAAGAAAGGCATTGCCCTTGGTTGTAAAAATCTCCAGGGCCAAGACAAGGGACAATTAGAATTATTTGTATTTGTGCTGAGAAAGCAAAAGCCTTTTATAGCTGAGGTACAGGTCATTTCACAAGTTAGGTAGTTTCCAATTTATGGCTTTCCATAACATAAAAAACTTGGAGAAAAACCTGATTGAGTTGACCACTGAGAGATCATTACAATAATTTTTTTTAAAAAATAGGCTTTGTTTTTTTAGAGCAGTTTTATGTTCACAGCAAAACTGAGCAGAAAGGACAGAGTTCCCATATGCTCCCTGCCCCCACACATGCACAGCCTCCCCATAGAATAATTTTTGAAGTAAGATCTGTAAAGAATGGAATGACATTGCCAAATTTGGCCCTTCTAAAAAACAAATTTCAAGTTCCCTGGCAAAGGTGGACTGGCTAGAAATCCTCACAGAAGGTTTGCATTCATAAGAACATTGATTCATTCCAGGACCCCTCTGACGCCGTAAGTCCAGAAATACGTCCCAAATTGTCTTCTCGTCAGCCCTGGACATTGTCATAACAAAACTCCTATAGCTCCATCTACTTATTAATATGAACAAAATTTCTCAATGCCTACTACATTCATTAAAAATAAGAACTAGGGATGATATTGATGCTAAACCTGCTCATTCTTGCAATAAATAATATTAATTGATGGATAGTTGAACTAATTACACACATATATATAAATATATAAAAATACATTATATATGTAAATATATAAAATACATTACATTTAAAAATCCATCCTTATCCATCTCATTAAGAGAATAATTTCCAATAATATTTTACTGTTTTATGTTTAGTAATCAATAAAATATATATTGACCTTGTTACTAATAATTGTAATGACAACAGTTTCAAAGAATGATGACAGTTTTAACTCTGGGAGCCTTAAGGTCACAGGATATTTTTTATTTTTTAAATTGTAAAATAAATCTGCATATGTATTTTTGTTTCAGAAAATATGATAGGGTAAGCAAGGAGATGATCAAATAATAAATGATGTCATAAAATATATGACATTTGGATATACTTCTATAGGGGAAGTGGAATGTAAATATAGTTCAGGGAGAAGGGAATTATTTAACATTCTGACTGTTAAAGAACTGCTTGTTTATTTTGAAAAAGGAATGACAGTGTCAAATTACTGTGGTACTTAGATTCTATTGGATACATTTAAAAAGAGTGATATAACAGTTTTATTTTAAAACATTCCATGTTAACAATCTGTAGAATATATCCTTTGCAACCACTCAAACTTATGATGAAAAGTTATAGATATCAACTTGAAAATGTGCAAAGGGATACCTAGTTTTCCAGCATTGTTTAGGGGGTGTAGTGAAGAAAAGTTTGAAGACCACTGCATTATATCATCCGTTTACTGACATTTCTGCTCATAATATAGTACTTATAGTTCCAGAGCCTTTGCAACCTTGAACAGTAAAAATTGTAAGCATCATTCTACCTACAATTTCAGAGGTTTCCTTGTCCAAAGTTCTTTCTCTCTCACCATGCTGCCCATCTACTCTGAACTGGGTGGTAACTACGTGGTCATGGTACAAGGGCTTAAATTGGAGAAACCAGAAATAAATCAGCCCCTAGACCTCACAGCTGAACTATTTCAAGAATATGCAGTTACATTTCAGTGTCCGTGATTTGACTCATGGTGTACTCAGTAACATATAATTACGAGATGCATTCTAACAGACTTCTACGGAAATGCTTGCTTGTCACCTTCTGAATATAGAGGAGCCACAGCAGGGTTTTATGGTAACTAAGTGAAATTATCTAACCAACCCCGATGTGCACCCTGTTATAGGAAAGTGACTTTCTCACATACCAGCTGAGGTTCTGGTGGAGTTTCTCCAAGTATTAAAACCTTTCTTTTTAAGGAAGGCAGAAAAGTGGATGGAAGCAACCATATGCCCAAATGGTAGCAAAAATGTACAGGGAGGAAGCTACGGGATTGTAGCAGTTGAGGTAGGAGAGGAACGAAGCACTGCTCTTCATGTCAGAACTAAAAACTAAATGTTAGTTCACCACAATTTAAGTACTGCCGGTCACAATATGAGAGACTGTGGAGTTTGTAAGTGGTGATGCCTTAGTTAATAGGGTAAAAAGGATATGTCTCACCACAAGTGATTTTTAAAAAATAGATAATATCTATTGAAGCACAAAACTGTCGCAATATTTTTTGGCTTTAATTTTTTATTTAATCACACCTTTTATTTTGAGATCATTGTAGATTGACATGCAGTTGTGAAATAATTCAGAGAGATCCTGTGTACCCTTTTCCCAGTTTCTCCTGGTAGTGGCATCTTGTAAACCATAATGTAGGGCTTGACATTGACGCAGCCAAGAGACAGAACACTTGCATCAGCAGGAGGACACCTGTGTTGCCTTTGGATAGCCACCCGCACTTCCTTCTTATCTCACACCCTTGTCAGCCCTTGGCAATCACTCATCTGTTCTCCATTTCTATAATTTTGTCATTTCAAGAATGTTACATAAATGGAATCAATCATACAGTATGTAACCTTTTGGGACTGGCTTTTTTTTTTTCCACTCAGCATAATTCTCTGAATATTTATCCCAGTTGTGAATATCAATAGTTATTCCTTTCTATTGCGGAACAGTATTCCACCGTATGGATCCACTACAGTTTGTTTAACTGTTCACCAGTTGAAGGTCGCCTGGGTTGTGTTGAGTTTTAGGTATTATCCATAAAGATGCCACAAACATTCGTGTACAGGTTTTTGTGTGGATTCAAGTCTTCATGTCTCTGGGATAAATGCCCAGGAGTGTAATTGCTGGGTCTTATGATAGTTGCATGTTTAGTTTTTTAAGACACTGCTAAACTGTTTTCCAGAGGGACTGCGTCATCTTACCTTCCCACCAACAATGTACTATGACCCATTTCTCTTCATCCTCATCTGCATATGACATTGTTACTATTTTTTATTTTAGCCATTCTGATAGGTGTACAATGATAGCTCAGTGTGGTTTTTCTCATTATGGTACAATATTTTTTTTGTATCTTTTAATTTTTTTCCCCATTTTCATTGACATTTAACATTGATATAATTATATAACATATGATATGATATAATTGGCAGTTTGAGGTGTATGTATAACACAATGATTTCGTATATGTATGTATTGCACAATGATCACCACAATAAGTTTAGTTAACATCCATCACCTGACATAGTTATAATTGTTTTTCTGTGATGAGAACTTTTAAGGTCTACTCTCTTAGCAACTTTCAACTATACAATACAATATTGTTAGCTATAGTCACCATACTACTCATTACATTCCCATAACTTATTTATATTATAACTGGAAGCTTGTACCTTTTGACCACCTTCACCCGTTTTACTCACCCCTACCACCTGCATCTGGCAACCACCAATGTGTCCTGTTTCTATGAGATCTTTTTTTTTTTTTTTAAGATTCCACATATAAGTGAGATCCCATAATATTTGTCTTTCTCTCTCTGACTTACTTCACTTAGCATACCACCTTCAAGTTCCATCCATGTTGTCACAAATGGCAGGATTGCCTTTTTTTTATGACTGAATAATATTCCATATATGTGTGCATATTATTCCATATATAGAAAGAGAAAAGAAGGGAGGGATTGTGATTATGAATATATTCACATTTACTTATCTAATCATCCATCAACGGACACTTAGGTTGTTTCTATGTCTTGGCTATTGTGAATAATGCTGCAATGAACATGGGGGTGCAGATATTCTCTTTGAGATGATTTTGTTTCCTTTGGATATATACTCAGAAGTGGAATTCCTTGGTCATAAAATAGTTCAGTTTTTAATTTTTTGAGGAACCTCTATACTGTCTTCCATAGTGGCTGCACCAATTTACATTCTCACCAACAGTGCACAGAGGTTCTCTGTTCTCCACATTCTCACCAACTTTTATCTTTTTTATAATAGCCATCCTAACACATATGAGGGATCTCTCACTGTGATTTTAATTTGCATTTCCCTGCTGATTAGGGATGTTGAGCATCTTTTCATGTACCTGTTGACCATTTGTATGTCTGATTTGGAAAAATATCTATTCAGTTCCTCTGCCCATTTTTAAATCAGGTTGTGTTTTTGTTATGGGTTGTATGAATTCTGTACATAGTTTGGATATTAACCTTAATCAGATATACGATTTGCAAGTATTTTCTCCCATTCCATAGGTTCCCTTTTTGCTTTGCTGATTGTTTCCTTTGCTGTGCAAAAGCTTTTTGGTTTGATGTAATCCCACTTGTTTAGTTTTACTTTTGTTACCTTTCTTTTTGTTGTCAAATCCAAAAATATCATTGTCAAGATCAATGTCAAAGAGCTTACCCACTCTGTTTTCTTCCAGGAGTTTTATGATTTAGGTCTTCAGTATTTTTTTTTTAATGAATTTCTTTTTTTTAATTTTTTTTTTTAATTGGGGAATTGGGGGGATGGGAACAGTGCTGGGAAATTGGGGGAAGGGGAACAGACAAGTTGCTGTCGTTTTTTGTTCTTCAGTCTAGTTGTGGAGGACGTTGCTTCACTGGCCCAAGTTGGCACCATCATTGCGCTCTTCCTGGGCGAGGCAGATCAGTCGCCGGCTTCTGGACGGCCGCTCACTGCGGCTGCTGGCCGCTCACGCTGGCTGCTGGCTACATACCGTAGCCCATGGCAACCCACTGCCACAGGGGCTGCAGCCTACGCCGTCGCCGGCGACTCACAGCAGCCCAGCTCCAGGTTGAGCTGTTGTTCAGCATCTTAGCTGTGGAGGGCAGTGTCACTGGCCCTCATATGTGGGATCCGAACCGGGGCCCTCTGGCGTCCCAAGCCAGTTCTTAACCATCGGGCCACTCGGCCGGCCCAGGTCTTCAGTATTTTTAATTTAAAGTTTTCTTTTCACAGACTTCATTTTAAAGTCTTAAAATATAAAAAAGTGTGAGTGAATCCTGAGTCTCCCCTTACCACCTCAGAGGTGCTCTCCCTAAAGACCATCGCTCCTACCAGCAAACCACATGCAACTTTCCATCTAAAATTAAGGCACTGGTCACAGTTAACCACTTTTTCCTACCCCAAAAAGTCATCACCAGGAATGGTGAAGATTGTCTTGAGCACATATAACCTCTGAGAGTGCTTGTCAACTTTTCTTTCCTCTCCTTTGTTGTTAGCTAATCCATTTACAGACATAGGAATGAATTGAAGAAAGGCATTTCCCCTTCCAACCCCTCCCTTCCTCTATCTCCAATAGCTTCTCCATTCTCCTGCTGTTTCTAATCTATTGAGGACTAGGAAACCATGTAATTGGACCTTTGGAAGTTAGATCTTCAATTGGAATCAGTAAGCAAGCCTAAGAAAGGCTCTTTTCAATGCAGGGACTTTGGCTACTCAGAGGCCCTTCCCCTCTCACCTGCTGAATCTGGAGTTCTTTTCCAGAAACTGAAGTTGCTACAAGGATAACCTCTAGATCAGGGTCATGTTCCTGTATATGTCTTTTCAGCAAGCCAGGACTGTGACATCCTCTGACATCAGATGCTGGAGGGTGCATTTGGCTATTTGTCCAATTAGAGCATTCACAGCATCATAAAGTATTAGGTGTAAGGATAAATTTAGCTTGTTATTGTTTAATTACTAAATAAAGGAGTTAAACTGGACTGGGCTTACTTCTCCAGCCTTGTGTTACACTTAATTTTAATATAGTTTGATAGACCTGTGGAGTCATCATACAAATTATGATGAAATTTGAAAGAAGGTTCTTGAGCAAATTACCTGTCTCCAGTGACTCATACTGGGTTTCACAGGTCTCAGGGTTCAAGCTGCTAATCAGGTTTTAGATATCTTTTCCAGTGGCAGAAGTTTTCATGTGAATGGATACAAAATTGACTGAAATTTTTTGAAAAATGTGTCCATAGACTGATAAGTATTTTTAAGTTGAGGATAAAGTTAGTTCTATGGTGTTTTTTGTTTTTTGTTTGTTTGTTTGTTCTTTTAAATCACAAAGCAGCTATGAGATCTCTGTGGTACTTTTAAATTAAAAACAATTTACTTGTAAAACTAACATTTTTTTCTCTGATCATAATACTTGCTCATTGAAGACAAATTGGAAAATTCAGAAATAAAAAGATTTAAAAACATCACCTATAAACCTAGCACTCAGATAATTACATTTTAAGTTATATCCTTGCAAACTGAATATTTGTATTATTAAACACACACGCGCACACACACGCGCAAGTTGATTATCTTTGGGGAAGAAAGTAGTTTTTGGGCTCATGAATGGAAGAAATATTTGTTCATTCTTACTCTTTTGTATCTTTTGAACTTCGTACTGTGTGCATGTTTTTTTCTATTAACAAAATAACAGAAAGACACAAATCTATCTGTCCAAATATCCTTTTTTGCTTTTCTTGTTTTGTAATAATCAGCTTGTGTTGAGAACCACTGATGTAAAAGTCAACCCACTTCACTGACTACCACAGGCATCTCTTAGAATAAACTGGATGGAGTTTATTCTAGCTAACAACTTTGATTATATTCACCCATAAGTATTTACCGATAATAGCTCCCATGTAGACTCAGTGCTGAGGAAATTAATTATGTAACTAGTCGAGGCAAAAATAAAGTTAAATATACTGCTAAAACATGGTCAGGGATTCAAAGCTAAGGTATCTATTCATTCTCTCTGATTCCACGGGCCCAGTTCTTCCCATATATAATCACAGAGCATCGCTGGGGATGCAGAAATCCTGTGAGTGCACTGCATTTATTCAAACTGACGAAAAAACAATGCCATCAGCGTGAATCAATAGGAACGGTGCATTTAGCCAGCAGGTTGTTATTTTGGGGGAGAGGATGTGCACTCAGTTTTGAGGTTTATATTAGTGTCAGATTTAGCAGGATAGCAGTGTTTTCCAAACTTTGTTACTAGGAAATATATTGGCATGTGTATGTAATATGTATATATATATATATATATATATATATTACTATAGAATGGGCTTAAGCAACAGAAATTTATTTCTCACAGTTCTGGAGGCTGGAAGTCTAAAATCAGGTTTCCAGCATGTTTGGGTTCTGGTGAGAGCTCTCTTCTTGTCTTGCAGATGGCCTCCTCCTTGCTGTACGTTCACATGGCCTCTCCTCAGGGTGCCTGTGGAGAGAGGGGGAGGCCTTTTCCTCTTATAAGGCCACCAATCCTATTGGATTAGAACCCCACCCTTATATCTCCACTTAGCCTTAATTACCTCCTAAAAGCCCTATCTTCAAATGCAGTCACATTGCCAGTTAGTTCTTTAACACATGATTTTGGAATGGAGGGGCATAATTCTCTCTCTCTCTCTCTCTCTCTCCATATATATATATATATATATATATATATATATATATATATATACATTTATATTTTATAAGTTTTATATACAAACTTCCAGGTGTATTTTTTTTATTTTACTTTATTACTGTTCCATACTGCTGTTTCCCTTATCTTAGAAACAGAAATTGTCAAAGTTTCTTCCACTCTCTATTTTTCCTATTCTTAAGGCCCTGGGAATTTGAGCTGGGTGTTGAGCAGGGATCACTGAACTAGGATTCAGGACTCATGGATTTAACTCATGACTGGCTATGTGATTCTGAGGTTGTATCTCTCTCCTTAAAACCTAAATTGTTTGAAGTGTAAGATGAGATTAATAACCTATAGTCCTGTGAATGTAGGAAGAAAGAATAGTTAATAATTTACCACTTAATGTTAGCTCTCTTTAATAAAAGTTTCAAATGAAATGCAAAGATTTTAGTCCAAAGGTATGATACTGATTTTTTAAATTTAACAGATAGTCTCATTACTTACCATGTTCCCTAAAAACATTAACTCACTCAATCTGAAAAACAATGGTATGAGATAGGTTATCTCTTTTTTTTTTTTTTTCCCCCCACCCCCGATAGGTTATCTCTTATAACCACCTTCCCCATTTTATAGAAACATAGAGAAAGAAGTAACATAACTGGTCCATGGCTATACAACTAGTTAGTGACAGTCAGGAGTCAAATCCTGGCAGCTTGGTGCTCGAGTCCAGTTACTATGTAGCCACTATGAAATTGCTTATTTATTTCTAAATGTGCCACTTCCTTGCTCAAAATCTTCAGTGGCTCTTGGTGCCTAAAGTAATAAGTACAATTCATTAGCTTAGCAACAAAGACTCTCCAGCTACCTTTCTTTCTTATTTTGTTCCCATGAAAATCGTTCATCTATCCTCCTGTGCTCCAGCTGAACTGGACCAGTCATACTTCCCTGAATGGATCTCATGGGTTCCTGCCTCTCTGCTTTGTCTTTGACAATCTCTTCATCTGGAATCCACCTATTCTCACCCCCCTCTCCACCAACCATCTTTTACCTTTCCTTCAAGGTCCTTCCAAAGTGCCACCTCCTTCATACATTTTCTCCTCACTTCTCAACCCCAGCTGGTTGTGATTTCCCACAGAATTTTATCTCTTCTTTTTGCATGGACCAGTTTCTGGCTTTTATGATAGTTATATCTGTATATGTCATATTCCCTCCCTACTAAATGATGGCCTCCTTGAAGACTGCACTATGCTTTTCCATAGCGCTTTTACATTTTTAAATAAAAAATGTAAATCATTATTGTTCTTTTCTCATAACTAAATGTATGCAACTTATTGCAAAACAAATAAACATTATAGAAATACATCTCTTAAAAAGTGAGATCCACCATTATAGCTCCTCCTCCTCTGCCCTTAAGAGAACTGTGGCTAACAGTTTGGAATGTAGTCTTCTAGTTTTTTTCATGTAATAAACATGTATAATTTATATTTACAGAAATAGGATTATACTATACAGACTGCTTTGTACCTTTTTTTCAACTTAAAATATTTAATATATTTCGTATAGAGATGTATCACATTCTTTCTCAACAGCTGCATAGTATAAGATTGTATGGATGTACCAATATTTACCTGTTCAATCCCTTGTTGATGAACATGAGAGTGAGTCCCAGTTTTTTTCACCTTTATGAACAATGCTGTGGTGAGTATGTGTGTATATATTCCATATATATGTATATATGAAGTCAGGCAATTAAATTTGCGAACTTTCCACCATGCACTAACACACACACATATATATGTACTATATATACCCCCAGATGACTTTCTGTAGGATGTATCCTTGGACATGAAATTGCTAGGTGAAATGGAATGGAGATTTTAAATGATTGTCAAAAATGTTAAGGGAAGAGTCTTGGTTTATGTTTTTCTGTATCCTTCACAAACTCAGGGGCTAAGCAGGCAGGCTCAGGCATCAGGCTGCACACGTTTGTATCTAGGCCTGGTCTCTGTGTCTTAGTCACCTCATCTATAAAATGGAGCAATAAGAGTACCTTGCTCCCAGCATTGTAGGCTTAATAAATGAGATAATGCGTGTAAAGCAATTCGCATTTTGTAAGCATCTGGAAGATAAGTAAATGCAAGATATATGGGGAAAAATATGGTAACAGGTTCAGATAATTGTTGAATGAATAGGACTGAATAGAATAATAGTAGTTTTTGAGTTGTCTTTCTGGAAATGGACAGTACTTTGCTATTGAAACCAGTAGCAACTATTTATAAAATGACCGGCTAGCATGAAATGTGCAATGTGTGGCCTTGGAGCAATTTATCTCTGAGCAAAATTAACTGGCCTGAACCAGGATCAACCAACGACCTTGGCCTTTTCAGTTCCACACTCTCCAACAGAACTAACTGGCCCCAGCTGCAGGTTGGTAACTTACATAATGTGTATCTTTAAGGACAGAGAATGATGCAGTTCCCTGGAGGGTGCCTTGGCTCACCACTGCAGGTTATTAGGTTATCTAGTCACCCAGCCATTAACATTGAAAATTAATAGAAAGTGCATAAATAAATGGCTGGAGTAAATAGCTTTCTGTTTAGACTCAGGTTCTGGGCCAGAAGTCTCCATCTTCATGGAAAAGTTTCTATATCAATACTAAGATATCCTGGGAGTAGTCAACCCTGGGTTCTGCAATCAAGTCTGTCACTAATTAGCTGCAAAACCTTGAGCAAATTGAACCTCACCTTGCACTGATGCAGCGAGAGGACTGAAATAGCTGATGTGAAAGTCCCTTTTTTTGGACATGCCTTTCTCCACAGGCAGAGTCATATTTTCAGACATCAGGACTGTTTATTGTACTGAACAAAATTAATGTATAAAATCAGGCAATGGAAATACTTTCAAAATGTGTCAGTTATGAGATGGCAAAAGGACGATAGCAGGGCACAGAATCAGTTGACACTTGCTCTGTGGAACCCACTACAGGAGGAGGTAGCGGAGAGTCTTCTGAGGAAGCACATGGAAATCCAAGAGTAAGGGAGTGGAATATGGACAGAAATTGTAGTCTAACTACAATTTGCCCGAGGTCCTGGCCAGGGGCAAACAAGGCAGAAAATGGGGCTCCCAGTGACATATGAACATCACTGAAAGTGTGCTGATGACCCTCTCCCCCAGCCCAACATGTTCTGACCCCCACCACTGGAGCCATATTGTACCCATTGTCTCAGGCCCATTTCAAAGCCCACTTCCTTCTTGTGAACCCACCTCCACCCCACACAGAGACATCTTGCTCCTCTAAAGGCTGACTGTTCTCTCTGTGCTATTCATTTCCATGGCACTTCCAGGAGGAATACAAAGCTGCCTCCACCTCCTAGTGACACTTGTATTCCCTTAAGGAGACCCAAGGCCTTCGCCTCCTCTCTTTGCCTCCAAGGCATCCAATACAGCAGTGCTCAGGAAATATTTGTGGCGGTGTGATTGAGTGACTCAGGCAGGCCCAATGGGGAGTAGAGCTTTATGGGTTTTAATATGAACCATACCATGAAATCTGAGACTTTTACCTCATTGCTCACAGTGGAAACCATCAGGTCCAGTTGGATTTGCTTGGTGTTGGGTGGAATTTTGTTCTTTTTCACGTTGAAAACCATAATCTAATTTTTAGATTAAAAAACATTTACATAGCACCTACTTCATTTTCAACAGTAATCTAAACACTACAAGTGTTAACTCATTTACTCTTTATAACAACCCAGATGTAGAAACTGAGGCATCAAAGGGTTAAGTCACTTGCCCAGGGACCAAAGCTAGTTAAGTGGCAGAGCTGGGATTCAAATCCAGGCCATCTGTTCCAGAGAACATGCTCTTCCACATGTTATGCTGCCTGAAATTTATATGAGTGGCACAAATCTTCACGAGCAGAAAAAAAAAATTAACCTTGATGTATTTATTTCAAAGGAAACGTTTTTTTTTTCTTGTGTCCCCCTTTCTTTCATCATTCAAAGCAAAATGTTCTAAAGCAAACAGCCTTTTTTCACACCTGAGAGAGCAGGGTGTCTCATTTTTGCTTTGGCAATCAAAATGGAAGAGGAAACGTGTGTGGTTTCACCACGGGTGCTTTCGGGGTGTGTGCTGCGCGTTGGTTCCCGCCTGGCTCATCTGGCTCGGGACCCCTACCCCCAGGCTTTGTGGCCTCAGGTCCTGGAGACTTTTAACAGTCTGTCTTTCCCCAACAAGAGTGGGATGAGGCACCAGCCTTTCCGTCGCTCCCGCAGATCCAGTCCTTATCTTAAGGGTCTCGAGGATTTTCTTTTGCCCTCCCCTCCCGCAAAGTCTGGTCAAGGACTCAGACCTTATTAACTACATTTACATCAGAATCCACACAAGCCGCATCTCACGATCCTACTACATTCCAGGGTGAATCCACTACATTTCTACGTTTTGGATGTTGATTGCCTGACTTTATGTATATTTAAATGTCTGTCTCCTCACGTGGGACGCTGGCATCAGAACCTGACAGACCTGCCATTGATTAACTGTGGGACCCAGGCGCATTACTTCACGTCTCGGAGTCTCGGTTTCCTCATCGTGAACAGGATGGGTACCATAGGGCTGCTGTGTGGATCAAATTAGATAACAGAGGCTACACTGGCACACAGTGGTTCTCTTAGGTTCCTCTTGGCAATATTTACTTAATGCATGCTTGTCTGTTTCTCATTCCCCTCCCCAGACCCCCCCCTCCCCCGCTCTGAAGGCAGGAAGGGCGTCTTTGCGCCGCACTCTGAAAATGTCCCTAAAACCCCCGTTAGAACGTACTGCCCCACTGGGCTCCTCGGCATATTCGTGACAACCCGGGAGAATTTGCGCTTCTTTCTACCCTAACCCTAATCCCGCGGCCCCAGAAAGGCAAGGGCTCAGATTCCGAGGGTGGCCCGGCTGAAGTCACTGGGTGGGGCTTTGGGAAATGGAAATGGGGAGAAAGGGGGAGCCCGCGCTCTGGCTCGCCTCCCTCCTTCGAGGATGCCCTCAGCCTCAGGCCTCTTTCTCGCTCCGGACACCTGCTGCCGGGGTCGGGAGTCCGAGGCAGGGCCTCCTTCCGCCGCACGGGTTCCACCTGCGCCACTACAGACGCTGGCGAGGTGGTCCAGGGCCGCCTCCAGGGAGCCCGCCCCGCCTCCTCCGCGCAGCCCGCCGCGCCCGGCCGCGTCCCCTCCCACCCCGCGGCGCCCCGGCACCCCTCTCCTCCCCCAGCGGGCTCGGCGGAGCATTGTACTCACATCCGGGGCTGGGTTTTGCTTTAATGCGAAACGTAATTAACCCGGAAAAAAGAGCCGAGAGACAAGAGAGAAGGAGGGGGCGGGGTGGGGGGAGAAGAGCAAGAGGAGCCAGAGGCACCGAGAGTTTGACTGCAAGATAAATCCCCCGAGAGCGCCGGCCCCGTGGGCCGGAGGGGCGCGTCCCACCCCGATGTAATCCACGCACCCTGCCCGAGTCCCGGCCCCTGCACAGCGGGGTAAGTTAGGTGCCCTCGCGGGCCGGGGAGCGGATAGGTGCAGAGGGGCACGCGCGGGCTGGGGGAGCCGGGGGCGCGCAGGCGGGCTGGGTGCGCCTGCCCTGGTGGCCGACGACCGGGGTGGAGGTCGCTGAAGCCCCTGGCCACCTCGTCTAGCCCGAGGAAAGCCCGGAGGGCAGCCCCTCCTCCAGTCTTCTGGGGCGTCCGGGGTGGCCAAGGTCGCCACCACCAGGGGTCGGGCTGCGGGAATGGGGCCGCAGGGAGGGTGGGGGCGGGTGTACTGCTGAGCTGCATTTTCTCACGTTTGCAGCTGCGAAACTTCTCTGCGGGTTCTGGCGCTGGGGCCGCGGCCCCTCAACGACTGCCCGAGCTGCGGGTAGGTCTGGAGAGCAGAGTACGTCCAGGCAAGTCCCTTGGGCACAGATTGGGCCGTGGAGACGCATCTCTCTCTTTCCCTGTTACCTTATTACAAGACAGGCCTAGTATGCTTCCTTAGGGAGATCTCTTCCTTTTTTCTGGGTCCACCCCAGGCCCTCGGGCTTCTAGAACTCCAGGCTATTGGGGTGACTTGAAGGAAAACTGTTCCGAAATGCAGGTTCGGTGCTAAGTTGGGAAAGCACCTCGAGGGGAACTGTCTGCCTTTCTCACCAACTTCTTCCTCACCTTACTTGCTTCCCTTTTCTTCTCCAGTTCTCCAGTTCTGAACTGTTATTTCATCAAGTAAAAAAAAAAAAAAAAGAGGAAAGGGGAAAAAAAGAGGCCTTGTAGGAAGGAAAAGTGTCCAGGCATGTCCTCCACTTCAGTCTTACACATCTCCTCCCCCAGGCTAGCCCTGCCCCCCAGCCTTACAGTTTAAGGTTTCCTTCCTTCTTGATGAGTGTGGGTTCAGGCTGTGTCTTCCCCTTCTAATTCCTCCCACCCCTCCTCCATTCTTTCTTTAGGGCTCCAAAAGTTTTTTGTTTTTTTTCCAGAGAGTAAACAGCGGAGAATGGGGGGTGGGGGTGGGGGGAAGCATTCTACCAGGCCGCCAGCTGTGGCTGTTGGAGGCGCCTCAGCCAGCTGAGTGGTGGTTCCACTTGGGTTGAAGTTCCAAAACTGTATTCATGTTGTTCTTAATATATCTAAGGCAGTCCCCTTTTTTCTCTTTTCTGGAGCTTGCTTCATCATTTTCCTTTGTTTGGTGGCAAAGCTTTCAGAAACAGTAGAGCCAAAGACCTTGGAAGAATGGAAATGTTTGTTTTCTATTTTATTTGCATTCAGTTGACAAAAGATTGGCTATAAGGACATGAAAGGCAGTGATGAGCAAAATGCAGCCTCAGTCTTTAGGGAGCTTCCAATCTTGTGTTCCTAGAACACAAAGCTGATTGCTCAAATAGAGAACTGGCATGCTTTGAGAAACCAGAGGAGGCTTTTAAAAAGCATTATCATCACTTCATATGTATTAGCCTTCTCCACTGGGTGCCACTTGAAGGCTGGTGACTTCTGTCATAGCAAAAGTTTAGCTTGTAGTCTGGACTCTGGCCAATGTGTGACATCTCCTAGGTGCTGAGTAAATGAATGAATGAATGAATGATTGCAAGCACATGAATTGTTTGCACTTGCCCAAATGGAAGGGAAAAGAGCAGTGTGGCAGCGCCTCCAGCCTGCAAAAATTTGGTCCATTAAGCTGGTTCTTGAGGGTTTAATATGGATGTTGCCTTTAGAACTGAGTAATCTGCCTATTTGTAAGCCCCACTTTTTACAAAGTGGGGCACTCCTCATGGAGTTTTAGCTAGCTGATGGTGGGAGCCTTGCTCATTTCACAGATGGGTAACCACCTGTGAATAGGTATTGACTTGGAAACCACCTGCTTTTTGGTGGAAAGTTTGCAAAGCCTTTTCCCTTATTGGTGCTTTCTTCTGTCTTCTGTATAAGGAAGTAAGGCCTGCAAATCCCATCATGTCATCATTGTGAGCTGAACTGTATTTAGCTCGGTATTTTACCAAGGTTAAAATAAATCCTGAAGATGACATGAAGGTTTTGGTCGGTGCCTACCTATGGAGAGGTTCTGCATAAGTGGAGAAGGAGATGCATTGGCCCTCTCAGCCAAATCCTGAGCAGTCCTCCTGCAGGCTTGCTGGAGATGGGGGTGGAGGGGGTATGGGTGCTGAAAAGCCCTGGAACACTAGGGAGACAGAGCTTCAGGAGCGTGGTCTTCATTGTTCCCATCCAGCTGGCACTTCATTGATTTCCTGCCTTCTTCATGGGGCAGGTGGACAGGTGGGTGATACCCCTGTTAAAAAGCTGGGATTCCTCAAATTAGATCTTGCTGTGGGCCACCGTGCAGTAATCATCACTTCTGATTCACTCAAAACTTCTGGGGCGCTACTGATTCTGGCGGATGTGGTCCTAGAGCTTGGAAAAGAGGATCTTGGTGACGGAACATGGAGCTGCTCTGCCTCTTCCCTCTTCCCACCATGAGCAGTTTGGGTTGCCTTACGTTCAGTTTTCTACCTGTGTTAGTGAGCTGGATAGGACTCCGGCAATCTAACCCGTTAGGCTTTGCAAGGGAAGGAAGCAGAGCAAATATGATAGTGTGACAGCCTATGGGAAGGGAAGAATCCTAGCCCTGTCCAATATAAGCCCATCATTGAACCAGGGAATTGGACAGGGTGGGGAGATAGGGCAGCTAAGAGGTAGGAGGGATGGAGTCCCTTCCTTCCTGTTCTGAGGAGGCCTGTGCGGGGTGCGTTGGGACTATTATAGGGAGACTCCCCATTGACCTTTATTCCAAATCTTGGGTTTCTCTGTTCTCCCCTCCTCTGGCCCCTGCTGGTAAGCCCTTCCATCCTTTTGGGCTTTATAACTCACCTTCTTTCTGGAAGCCTCTTCTCTGCCCTGACCCCTGTTGATTGAAGTAACTTGCAGAGGATTAAGGGCAGGATTGGGCTCTCTCACTTTGGAGGTCCCAGCCATGCTAGTGCAGGAGCTTGTGACACTGCCGAGTGTGGGCAAAAAAGGCTTTCAGCCTTGGGCCTGTACTGTGCCTTTCTGCCAACAGAGGCCGGCCAGCTGAGATAAAGAGGGTGGGAAGCTAGGTCTGCATGCATGTCCTTATGCTCCTGAGAAAAACGACAGCTAGAGTGCAAAGGCTAGTACTCTCTGTCCCATCAGCTAGGACCCAGATTTAGCCATTCATTTGCAAAGTGGCTGTCTGCCACTGGGATGCTCCCAGGGGCGGAGCAGGAGGCAGCTGGGTTCTATTAACTTTCAGGGTAGCTGGCCAAGATGGAGTCTGTGGAGCGCTTGAAATTTTTTTTTTTTTAAACCTCTTGGAGAATTTTAGAGATGTAAAATATGATGGTTTTTGGAGTAGAGGCAAGAGTCAGGGAAATTTATGCCTTTCCTTGTGAAGGATCCCAGTGTCACAGCCTTTCCATTGCAATTTGCTTATTGATATTTGAGGGGAAGAGATGGCCCCTGCAGTTGCTTGCCCTGTACTGAGCAGCTTTGTGGTAGTCATGGTAATCACATACTACCTGTTAGGTACTACACACACTACACACACACACACACACACACACACACACACACACACACACACACACACACACACACACACACACACACACACACACCCTCCTCCCGCTTAACAACATTTGCCTAGTGCTTACTCTTTTTTTTTTTTTATCAGACCTGTTAAGCACTTTTCACACATTGATTTCATTTAATCCTCACAGCAACCTTTGAAGTAGGTAGTGATTCTCTCCATTTTGCAAATGAGGAAATAGGCCCAAAGAGTTTAGCAGCCTGTCTGACTCTAAAACCCATGGTCTTTCACTTCACTATAAGGCATAGATGGGTAACTGAAATCAGCACACCCTTTTTCATGGTCATCGTGCAAGAGTTTCATCAAACATACTCATACTGAGCACTGTCACCTGCACATCCTCCTTGTCACACCCAGCCCCGTCTCCTTCCCTAAATCTACCGCCGTAAGCACATACCTGTAGACAGACACACTTAGGCCACTTACACTTTCCGCTGGCACTTCACAAAAGGCTGGTTAGTAGAGAAATAGTGATATATTTTTTTTCCTTCTCCTACTGCCCAGGTTTTACCGGCTGACATTGTCAAATTTCCAATAAGGATTATAGCTCCGGGGCACCTGTGCAGCTATTGCTAGGAAGCTTCACGTGGTGTCTTCTGAGTGGGGGGACTTGGACCATTCTGCAGGGTGGAGATCTCAGTTTTTATAGGCTTTTTATAAACCCAGCGCAGCAGCTCGCCTGCACTGGTGATCTGGTTGGGGCAGGTGGCCTAAGGAACTTTGAGCCTCGCAGGCCTTTGTTTCCTGCCTGCTCCAACAACCACAGTTTCTCTGAACATAGAAGGCTACTGTTAAGAGAGGTCATGAACGTTTAAAATATTTTGCTGTTTTTGGCATCTTTAGTGCAGTAGTATCAGTGTTCAGTTACTCCTGCCATTACCCCAATATTTTTCCCCTTAAAAATTCCTTGAGTGTCTTTCTTGCCCTCCATTCAGAGTTCTGGGGTCCCGTGGGGATTGGGCTGCCTGAGTCAAGGAGGCACCTTTTCTTATCCTCCCCGTTCCTGTGGATGTTTGCATTCCTCACCCTGCACTTCCGTTGGGAACATGTTCTCAGTACATTCCCTTCTCTCTCACATTACTCTCCTGCCTTAGACTATCTAGAATTTGCTCTGATGACATTTTCAAAATGCAGTGATATTATAACAGGAGTTGGATGCCCCCACACTTCCTAAGTTATCATCTTTGGCCCATTCTCAGAGATGTGTCCTGAAATAGCTATGCTTGTGTTTTGTTGCTGTTCTTGCGGTTTTTATTGGGCCCTTGGCATTGTTGAGGTTCTACAATACACACTATATGTGCTGCAATTTAAACATAAGTAAGTGCTCTGGTCACATGGCCCGTGCATATTCTAGCAATGGTTGAATACCTGCTCTTAACCTCCACTCCCCAGTTCTGTCTGCTGTATTATTACAGTCCTCACTGAAGCCTGCAATGTCATTTCTGGATAAACTTTCTCCTGTAGAAATTCAACAGTTTCCTGTTGGTATCCCTCTTGCTCACCGCTGATGCTGCCTTTTCCAGCTCCTACCCCAGGAAGGTAATGAGACAGGAGACATACTTACTTACTGCATGCCCTTCTGCATGTCAAAAAACGCCTTCTGGACTATTTTCTGGGGTAAAATTGCTGAAATTTCCTGTCCTGCCAACAGAGAGTAATGTAAAAGAAAAATATCCAAATTTAAAAAACAAATTTCTTTAAAAAATTTTTTTGAACTGTCAGAGGTTGTACTAGATTATTTCCTAGTGGGGCCAATGCCACTTAAGGTTTTATCTCTGTTATCCCTTTCTCTCGTTTTTATATACTTCGAAAGTA